GACACCACCATCCACCCAGGTTTTGGGTGGACAGCGTTACTAGAGGCCAAGGTCTGGGCCTGATCTTGCCTGGTCAGGTTGCAATAGTTTCAGATCACAGACTATTCGACCTCAGAATGAAACTAGTCATAATCAGCCAATGGGAACATTAGAGCAAATTTGTTACTATCATGCATGCATTACATGCTCACATTTTATGACCTCATATCTGTAGTACTATATTTTTATTGCTATCAACTCATTTGTGTAGGCACCTAATATAAAGATACAGTGTCTATCTGCCGCCTGCCTCACAAGTGCAAGTTTGATTCCCGGTTCCAAAAAAAAAAAAAAAGGTACAGTGTCTAATAGTTGACTAATATTTTTGATCAAATAGCTAATGTATATAAAATATTATTCCTGTGTCAAGCACTGGTAAAAATGCTTTACATATTAACTGATCTTAATTTTTGCAGCAACTCTGTAAGGAAAAGACTCTAAAATGTTATCCCTACTTCACACATTAGAAAGCTGAAGCAGAGGGGATATATAACATAGCTATTAAGTGACTTAAGAGGCTAAGCTGGGATGGAATGAAGGCAGTTTGGCTCCAGAGTCCACATGACTAACAGCTATGACATGGATGAAAACCAGTTTTTACTCATCAGTTAACATATAAAAATGCTGTCTTGCATTATTTGAATATTAAATAGAATTATCATTTCAGAACTTTGTACTGGTTGCTACATTGATTTTTGAAAATAAACATGGTGAAATACACAGTCTTGAGATTGTAATCAATAGGACCATTTTGTTCCTTTTACTATCCTAGAAACTGGCTCCTTGATGTCCTGGGTACCATTTCTAGACATTCAAATGGTCTTCAGTTGAACTCCAACTTTCCTTTCCAATCTTCTCCCCAGAAACTCTTCACTGTTTTTCTATTTCCCCACATAAATTTTCCTGCTTTCATCCAGACACTTCAGCCTGAAATCATCCTTTCAACTATGAATTTCTGATAGTAATTAATGTTACTACATCTTCTTGACTTTATATTAAGAACTATAGCATCTTCTCTATTATTGATTTGAACTGTCATTAAAACCCTCGATCATGACTTAAATTGTAATATATTCATGTCTTGACTCTAAATATTTAGTAGTACTTTAAATTTCTTGTGATATAGGTCTAGTATTAAGCCTGAAATACAAGGCTTAAGTTAGTCATGTGTCTATTCTTCAGCTATAGTTCATCTGAAAATCAATGTGGATCCTTCAGTAATTGACAAGAAGAGCTGATGCCATTAAAAATATTAAGATAAGTGGCTTTGGTTTTAGATCAATAGAATAATCTGCTCATTTAAGAATTGTTACATTGCTTTTCTCTGTCTTACTTGTTCATCAAAACTATATTAACCATGAAATATTTTTAAAACATCTAGATACATAAAAAAAAGCCTAATGACATATTTTTTATCTAGGTATATATAACTCACAAATGAAGACAAGTTGGATTACTGCATTTATATCTATTTATAATATTTAACTATCACAGTTAGGAATTATGTGAGAAGTGCTTTAATAGTCCTGATCATGTGAGAATTTATAAGAAGTGGGGATGCTTGGTCCACGCAGTACTTGAGATAGGCCTAGAAGTATGAGCAATGTTTAGAAAAAAGAGAAGAGGGGAAGAGCACTTCAGACAAAAGGAAATATTCTTTCTGGGTGTTTAGAAGATAACATACTAAATACAGATCAGTAATGGAAAACAGAAATTATAAGGCTGGTGATGTAGGTTGGATTGTAGAAAGCAATAAATATCATCTTCTTAAGCATTGGAAAACCAGTAAAGGATTTTGAACTTGGAAGTGAGATTATGAAAAGTCTGTTTTAGGAGAATTAATGTGGCACTTGCTATGAAGGTGGAATGAAGAGAGATTAGAATCTGGGTACTCATAAGCAATGATTTGAAAAATTTAGTCAGAGACTCTAGAAGTCAGAGTATCTTCCTTATAAAGTAAGACCTCATTTAATTAGAAGAGAAAACTTTGGACTTTAAAAAGAGAAAATTATCTAAGAACATAGTATAAAGTTTTTGTTTTTAAATTTGTATTTTCATTTCAGATAAAATAATTTATAATTTCAAACAAAATTTATTATCTTTAAAATGTATTTAAAGGGAAAGCCTAGTGGCAATTCTACCTAATGTCAAAGTATATTTTTTATTAGAAGCATGTTGAAAGGCAAACCTTTATGGAATGGATAAAAACTCTAGTTTTACCATCCAACAAACTGTCCTAAATATTAAAGTAACCTTTTACTTTTATGGAAAATGGTATATTGATAAATAATTACTAGCTATATTGCATTACTAGGCAACCAGTCTTGTGCTATTAAATAGTAACAAACATTAAAATATGTCTTATAATTTGTTGATGAACTTTATTATTTTATTGCTGGATTTATCAATAAGCCAGGTAACATCATTTTTACATCATTGAATAGATTCAGTAGGTTTTCAAGGCCAGTGACTTTTCTGTTGGCTTTGAGTGGCTTTTAATGTTTATTAATACTTTGGAATGAATTGAAAAATCTCATCCAAGACAGTTGTTCATTTCTACTAAGAAGCTGTGATGTATGCACGGTAATATGATTTCAACAGCAGATAGGTGAATAAGAAGGAAGAAGACTTATAAGATCTAAAACACTAGCCTGCAGGTTCAAGGGATTTCTTTAATAGTCATATCATTATTTAACTTCTTATGAAATTTGTAGAACTTCCAATGGCTAAAGACCGCTAGTGGAGAGTGATATTGAACAAAGATCAGTTATAATTTAACTGGTTTTAAAACATAATCCAGAACTACTAAAATATTGTAAAACTTTTTGAATACCCCTTAAAACATAAAACCTAATGTAAACTTCTTGAATACCCCTTAAAACACTGAATCTAATGAAACATATATATAATTATCTAATCCAAGGTTTCATTTGCCATTACTAGCCATAATGCTATGCCAATAATATAGCTACTGCCATAACGCTATGAAGTTTATTCATGCATTTATTCATGTATTTATCCAGTGAATGTTTATTAAGTGCCTAAGTGTGAGAGTTTGTTGTGGTGTCAACTTGAATAGCAAATGCCTAGCAGATTAGTTTAGCACATTTCTGGGTGTGTCTGGACGACTAACTTACTGAAAAGGGAAGATTTATCCTGGATGTGAGTGGCACCAAACAATGGACTTGTAGACTGGAAGGAATAAAAAGGGAAAGAAGTTTTGCTTTTGCTTCTTTGGAGGAGCTCCAGTCTTTGCCATTGCTTTTGAACATCTGTGTCCAGGTGTCCAGTGCAGACTCTTCAGCCTTCCAATGAAGACTGTCGGGCTTTCCAACACAGGCTCACTGGACTCTGCAGTGAACTCCAGGCTTTGGCCTTTTTGCATTCTTCCAATTCTGCAGGCAGCCATTTTAAGCCTACCTTCTAAATCCTTTACATATCATATATAAATAGTATTAAATCTGTTCCTCTAGTGAACCCTGATACATTAGTTGTATTAAAATCTAAAGAAAGTGACAAATTAAAAGGAGATGTGTATATACTGTAATGCTAATGGAGCTAAAACCCTACTGCTGTAGGTTCTCATGCTAGTTTAGTGATTTCTTACATAGGTTCCTGTGAAATTTAGAAAACTACCTTAACTCGTTCACCGGGTTAGGACAAAATGACCAGGTGATTCCAAGTTATTTTTCAGTGTTATTATCTATCCAAATGTAAATGTGATCTTTAAAACTATAGTAAAGGTGTGAAGAAATTATCAAAGTCTGGTTGCTAGCACACAATGATCTCTTTTTGTAAATGTCATGATTGTTGAGATCAAGTGATCTTACTATTCTTAGCCAAATTTGTAACCTGAGTGAAATGACCTATTCATCATAGTTTTGATGAATGTTTGGCCCATTTTGTTGCATTTAAATTAGTGTCCCTTAGGGTACACACAATGAGTCAAAAAGATACATGTATGCATACACGGAGAGTCATAGACCTCAATGTCTTGCAATTATAATGGAAACATGCATGTCTCAGTCCATACAATGCACTATCTCCTGACCTGACAAGCATCTTGAATCAAGGAAATTGTACAGCTATAACCGATGATGGTGATGATGATGATGTGTGTATGTGCGTGTGTACAGAGACATACTTCCTTCCAGACACATATATAGTGCAGTGCTCCCCCCACAGGAGTCAGAAGAAATGACTATCCTCAAGCAAAAGGAGAATGTCATTGGTGAAGAGCCTTAGTATGGGTTGTCTAGGAACTAATGCTTTAGGTTCATGGCATTTTTGCTTTAAATATGATTATTTTGACAAAATTTTTAGAATTTAGCTATGGCAAACTCATTCTACTAATTTCATTTATTCTAATTTGCGCCCCCCCCTTTCCCATTTGCAGAACCTTGCCAGGAAGGGCATTTATGAAGGTGAGCAAAGGCTGTTGTCTAAAGGTAAAGGAGAATGAAATCAGACAAGGAAGACACTAAAAATAGTAAAGATAATATGTGCTACAATTTAACAGTAATTTTCATTCTACTCTTCTTTACTATTATTCAGATTTTGAATCTAAAAATTGTTTGGGAAACTCAATAGTCTACGTAATTAATTTGATACTCCACTGCATTTATGCAAACTCAGAAACTAAGTGAAACTGTACATTTACAGAAAAAGAATGAAGGAAACACATGCATTCTAAAAATGACTACTGAATAAATACATGTAGGTAAACACATCTTGGTATTATGTGTTAGTGAGGCACATACAAACAAAGACAATCTGGAATTTCCAAACTGCCATAAAGCACTTATATTTGTTTAAAAATTAAGGTAGTAAATTTGCTCCAATATTTTTACAAGGCTATGCAAATTTTATAGATTGTTTAATATTGAACATAACACCAGGAAACTAACTCATTACTCACTGTACTTTGAGATAAGTCAAGAAAAGAACTGAAAGACCATGAGTATTATTATAATAAAAATATTTATTATAAAAATTATCACATTTCTCTGTACATAGCTTAAAGACAAGAACAGAACTCATACATTAATAATTTAAGTGGGTCTGAGCACTCAGTACCCATCCACTATAATTGGAAGGATCTTCCATCTACTCCAAATACCAAAGTAGACTTTATATTTACTTACACAATTGATGTGATCGAGTTACTAACGTTTCTTTTATTGACTTTTTAGTATTTTAAAGATATTTGCAGTGTTTAGGTTAATTAATCAACTGCTCCGAATCTTTGGTAAATACAAGTATTTACATGCAGAAATGTTTTGCTCAAATTTCAATAAAAAAACTAAAACCACAAACAACCTACTGCAAAGAGTTCTGTGTAATCAATAAATGCACAAGTCAAAGCCCCACCATCCAGAAAAGTCACTGTTGAGACTTTTGATGACAATATCTGAAATCCACAACAAAGGGTTGTGGCTTCTATTGCCACAACCAGAAGCACCACAACTTTAGGACTTAGAGTCTAGATCATCACAAAGTTAAATACAGATATTGAATTCAACATATAAACAGTATTGATTATTTTTAAATAGAGAAAATTTTAGGTTTCTTCCTATATGTCAGTTCATACACAATTTGACATAGATGAGTTTATTATCTCAAGATAAGCCTATTATCTTGTAAGAGTGGGAGCCACTAAAAGAAGGCATACTGCTTTGAAAGACATCAATTCATCCTCTTGTCAATAATTCACCCATAAAAATACAAATCAATCCTTGGAATAATTTGTGGGGAAAATAGAAAGATGCTTGCCTTTTGATTTCCTCCCTTCTTCTTTTCCTTCCTTCTGTCTTCCATGTCTTCACTTATCTGAATAGGCTGCAGACCTGGGCAGTCCACCTGAATTCTCCAAAGAGCCATTTGCATTACAGCTTTCACTGATTATCTCTCAATCTCAGCGATTTTCAGATGAAAGCATCCTGGGCATGAGAACTTCTTACTTCCAGGTTATTTGTTATTTTTAAAAAATGCTCCAAAAAGTATTTAAATTCTAATGTTCTTGGGCCATTTGAAAATTAGAAAATGTTTAACAGCTATGTTAACGCTGGAGTGTACAGAATATAATCAAATATAGCAAAAATACAATTTTTAAAGCTTAATAAATGGATGCCTTTGCATTACTGCCACTACATGGTGGAGAACAGTTCTAAACTCAGCTGAGTTTAGGTACTTAATAGGAGATTTTTTTCCCTACCCTTAGCTTTTCCAACCTACTGTTTCATTTATAAACAAAGTAAGGTAAGGTGTAGCTTTGCTGTCACTTTGGCAATTCTTTTCTCTCTCCAACCTCCAACTTCCTGAGTTCACCTTGAACAGTTCACCAAAGACTAGGCACCTGGCAATAAGCACTGGCTTACTGTGTGAAGTATGAACAGAAAAAGCAGCATGATAAAAGAGTTATACTGATCAGAAGAGGCTTTCTTCTGAGTTTTTACACAGGCTTATTGTCTTGGCTGCAACTTTGAATAAAATGTTTTGACTCATTCTTCCTCTTTTAACTACAGTGAACATTATTTTAGTCATCATCCTTTTCTCCCTAGAGCATGTAAATACAGTATGAAATACAGTATGAAATGTACATTTATATACATTTCTCATCACATAGTGTAAACTAAACTTTGCATGGCAGGAAAGTACTGGTGTCGGGCCAAGGATTTAGCTCAGTGATTTCGTCGCCTGCTGCGCAAGCGCAAGGACCCGAGTTTGATCCCTGGTACCAAAAAAAAAAAAAAAAGAAAGTACTGGTGTCTTAACACTTGATACCATCAAGTACCAGTATCTTTTGATGTCAACAAGATGTTCTAAAATATCTTCCTATCGAAACTGCTAACGTCTGTCTTCATTTTTCACTCCCTTCTCCATGCCTCCTGGTAAGAGATGAAAAACAGAATCTAACTTTTCCAGGACTTGGAGACATTTAAGAGTTATTCTACATTACAGAACAAGGATCTGGCCCTCAGCTAACTCCCATAGCTCTGCCCTGTCTTCTCCTGAGTCATGGAAACAAACACCATTCCTCAATGGATTAATGTTTTTGTTGCCATGATTTGTCTTTGCAGAAACAAGACTTCACATACAAATGTTCAAGCAGCAACACTGCCCTAGACCCACTTTGATCCCATAGAGTATCCTGAACGTCACTCTTCACATGGCCACTTTTTGCTTTGCCAGATTCTTTGGTTCCTTGCTTGGGATACACCAATCGTCAGCCTCAGAACTCATCTGGTAATGTTTGAAAGCTGACATGTTAAAGACGGGGAGTTTTTCTATGGACTCAGAAGACAAAGCCTAAAGGAAGAGGGAAAAAATATCAGACCAAAGAAATATGGGTAGCATAATTTGCACTTTAAGTGATTATTCAAAATTCATCCTGAGGTAAATATTTAATATTCAAATACATTTATCTCCTTCATTAAGTAATAAGAATCCAATAATATCTACAGTGTCTTAGGCACTTTATAGAACAAAAATAAAAAATATTATTTCTACTCCATAGGAGTTGGAATAGTACATATGTAATTATAAATTAGGGAATAGAATTCATGCTTATTATTTACACATGTCTGTTGGATATTGCTGATGAGACAAAATTAAACAGCAAAACTACTGCTGAACTTGTGATAAAGTGAGAGTCCTAATCTGATCCTATTAATTTATTAAGTTCTCATTGGTTTGAAGACTTCTGCCTATTTCAGAAAGAAATAATTAACTATTTCTGAAAAAGGTGACTTGGCATTTAATTCCAATGCAAAATGGGAACCTAGAAGTTTAATGTTTTAGTTGCTATTATCAGTAAATATGTTTTCAGCTGAAATGGTTGGCAAATGATTAACAGAATCAGGACAGCGATCTTAACAAATAAATTGAGGCTTCATTCCAAATAGAGAGATACATATGTGCACCAGGTTTTAAAGTTCAAACAGGAAATGCTTGACATCCTGCTGACAGTGTGGGCAGCCAGATTTCCTTTCCCTGGATTTCTAATAAGGTCAGTTTAAGGTCTTGTGTGTCTTGATTTCATTGTTTTGTAGGCTAGAACATTATTAGCATTTATTTTTCACAAGTGCAAGTAATCAAAAACAGTTACTCTCTCAGATGCCAAGAGGAAATAGCCATAAAACATTGACACAAGCATGTCCTTACTCTGAAACTTTGGTATTCTTCCTGGGAAATAACTTTGCTTCATGTTCATCAGGTAGTATGGCCTAGCTTTCTCTATAGTAAGTTACCATATTAAATGCTTTGTGCTTACATATCCAAATAGAAAATAGAATTACTTGTGGTCATTTACTTGCATTAATTCAGTTTAGGGAATTCACTCTGAACCACAGAACTCAGAACCGTAAAAGAAGTGATCATCTTAGAAACAGGATTTTCCAATGAATTCAAAGAGTACCTTTAAGTAGATGATAGCATCTGTTCCATAGCCTGACAAAGAGTAGAGATTCAGATCTCCTTGAAAATATTTGGCATAGAGGCGAGAAATGGGCAAGCCATAACCAAAACCAGCCTAGAGGGAAAAAAAATCAGTCATTAGTATAGAAGTGGATGTGACCAGTGGAATATGAAATGTAAGAAAGTAATGATTCTCATATAAATAAATATCTTCTGCTTCCAATCAGGGACCCCTCATAGAATTGCTTTTCAGCATGTTTAGTTTGCTTTATCATTCTTTCTTATGTCCCTCAGACATAATTTAACTAGATTGATTAACTTGTCTAAATTTTTCCTAGCAATTCTTGCTCTACATTTAGAACCAGGTGGCTGGGATGGATTTAGCCATATAATTGGCCTTACCAAAGGAGCATTCCGGGAATTATCCATCACAGGTGTTGGCGCTGTGGAGTATGTGTAACTGAAGAGGCGGTCAATAATCCTCAGCGGAACACCACCTCCTCTGTCAGAAATCTGAAATAAACGAGTCATCATAGCTACACATTAAAAACAACGTGAACTTGTCTATACTAAAAAGTCTTCTCTTCATTATAAAAGTCACCTGGTATACATGATTTGGAGCCATTGTCCAAAGCAAGGAGCCTTATTATTATTGACATTTTTAAAATTCTCTCAAGAAAGAACCAGAAGAAAAGTAGAGAATGGATACCTTAATTGTAAGGTCTTCTTTTCCCAAAACCACAATCACTTCAATTGGCGCAAGGGAAGGGCAGTTTTCCTGGTGCTCAACGGTTGCCCTCATTGCATTCTAAGGAAAAAGAAAACCATAAGGAATTCAATGGCAGAAGAATGAGGAACAATAAATAACTGTTTTTATGCTTAAAATATGAGCTGCACAGAGGATAACTCAGTTTCTATTTTTAAAGTTAATAATAAAACAGCTCTGTAAATAGCCATTTATGAATGTGTCATACAGTAAGTATAATGAAAAATATTCATTTAACATGTAATATAGCTCCTGGGAGTAATGTCTAATGGAAAAACAATTCTGCTAGCTGTCAAGCTCTTATTTGTAAACTTAAATGTAGAAATTGGTTTTTATAGTCCATTTCCTAGTACTCCCTTTTCTGTCTTTCCATTACATTTTATATCCAAGCACCAAAGACTATTACATAACAAATGAATAGTGAATCATTGAACCAATTTATTGGCTTTTGTAAAATATGCTGGAAAAAGGTTGTTACTATTTAAAAGGAGACTCAATAATTTTAAATTAAACTTCAATTTGCCTTTGATTTTCATCTTAACTTTTACCAGGGATGGCAACTAACTCTATGAGTTGGATCATTTAATTTAAAATAAACCAAATCAACAAAAAAGTATCTTTGGTCCTTTAGCACAACCAACTAAAACATGTTTTCAGACTACTGGCTAAATGTCCTGCAGATAAAATGTTGGGTTATTTAACCCATTCTCATCTCTAATCACCTTCTGGTATATCATCTGCTTTCTGGTTTCTATATTATAGTAAGTTTTAGTCATTAGCTGAAGTGAATGGATCAGATTTTGTAGTTCAATTAATATCATTACAGTAATATGAGAATGTTAGAAAATAGTACTTCTGAAGAGTTATGTCTAACTTAATGTTAGATTCTGCTTTTTTTTTTTCAAGTCTTCCTCTTCTCCCATCCAGGGAACTCTGGGAAAATACCACAAAGTTCCAGGTGTTTTTCAAGTGTTTCCTTTTTCTTTTCAGTTTAAATTCAGAGTTTTAGTTTGATGTTGGAGCCCACGAAAGGACTGATTGTTGGCATTAGTTTACCCTAGACAGAAACATCAGAATCTTCTGAAATGTATTATAGCAAGCCTTCCAGGAGAATGTAGTGCATGCTACAGTTTGAGAAGCATTGCTTTATAGCCTTCATGGTGTGAAATGTGAACCAGGATTCCAGTTAGCTCACTAGAAATTCAGAATCTCAGGCCCTAGCACTGACCTAATGAATCGAATTTTGGATTTTAATCAAGTCCCTAGGTGATTCTGTACATTAAAGTAGATCACTGAAGGAACTGACTGTTCTCTCAGCATATTCTAGACTCAGAATGTGGGCAGATAACTTAGAGTAACTCTGGATTTGAGCCTTTGAGTTTTGAGCTGTAGTAGCCTGAAGAGATGGAAGTTACAAGGCTTTATTCACTGGTGCTCTGTTGGACACTTGGAAAAATAATGGGAGCATCCTCTTGTTTCTAAAGCATTGGGACGTCATGAATCATGTTGTGCATTCTCAAACACATACTGCTGTTACAGTGAAGTGCATGTACTTTTTCAAATATTGGCTGTGTAACTTCTTTCTGTTACTTCTGCTATAAGCACTGAAGTATTCTTGGGAAAAGATATTGAGGTTTTGGTTTAGAGGAAAATGATGAAGAAAATGGGAATATAACTAGTGAACTATTTAAAGACAAAAATCACAATTATTATAGATTATCATACCTTGAATAATTCAAAGAGCATATGATGAAGATGAGAAGGAACATATACGATGTTAATTGCTTGGCCTGGAGATTTAACTAGAAAAATAAAACTCATTTAGAATTGAGAAACAAATATTTCACTAAAATAAATCTCCAAATCTATTTGACTAGTAGTTTAGATTTTAAACAGGGTTGGAATATTTCCCATCCTCCCCACCCAAAAATTCTCCTGTAAAATTTTCCTACTAACAGTAAAAACAACTGGCTTATTTTTAAAATGCTGTTCAGTTGCTACCTAGCACTCTATGATTAATTTTTGCATTTCTAATGTATGAAGTTGACTAAAGTGTAGAACAATGAAACTATAAGTTGGATTATATGAGATTGTTTCTATTTTCAACATGCTTGTACTAGAGAATTCCAGAGTTAAAATTATATTTATTTTAAGATAAGAGCAAGAAATACTGTTGCTTACATTATAACCTTGAAATTAATGTTATAATTTTATGTTTTCATGCATGGTAAAATAATATATCTGAGGGGTTTTTTTTGGTTATTCTACCACCCAAACATTAAATCTTATATTCTAAATATGCTTTAACTTCACAAGCAGGCTAAAGACAACAGAGAAACAAACACCTCATGATACTGTGGGAAAAGAAAAAGAAAAGTACCATTCTTTGGTATCCCAGCCTTGGCAAAGTTTGACTCAAAAAACACAAGGCCTAGGACAATCCCCTCTTTATTTTATCAGACAGTTCCAGCAGTTTATCTACGAGTATTATGCAACAATGCTGCATATATTTAGGGTGTTTTTCCATCTTTGTACTCCGAATTTAGGTCAGCATTCACCTACATTTGCTTAATCCCAATCTGTGAGTTAAACTTCTGTACCCCTAATTTCAGCAAGTTGATTTTTACTCTTGACATTGACAAAAATTGTTTCTATAAATTTTGCTTGAAAAAGATATTTACTTTGAATCGAAAAAAGAAGGTTGTTCTAATTTCCATTTATTGCTTTGCTTTGAGATACAGCTATCTATCTACCCAGAAGAGGATAGGATAGGATAAAATAGTGTCTTGCATTCATCATGTAATCCCTTCAGTGTGGAGAGACCTTGGTAGATACCTCAGAATTGAAGCTTTTTAAGTATGGTCTTTCAAACAATGTATATATTCATAGTACATATTTTTATTGTGGTAAAAGCATTAAACATGAATTCTACTCTTACAAAATTTTAAATGCACAATTCAGTATTAACTATAGATACACTATGTTGTTACAGCATGTCTCTAAAACCTATTCATCTTGCATATCTGAAACTTTAGATCTGCTGAATAGCAACTCTCCATTTCTCCCTTCCCCTAACTCCTGGAAGCCACTATTTTATTTTTGACTTTTATGTGACTATTTTGGTTGCCTCACATATGTTCTATCTGTCATTCTGTGACTAACACATTTCTTATAGTGCAATTTAAAATATTTTTGTTTCTAGTTGTTGTGAACAACCTCTTAGGAACATAACATATGTCCACTGCTAAATGTTCTCCTTATTTTCATATTCTTCACATCTTATATAATAAGCAATCTTTCCTTGGCTAAGATACTAGAATTTAGTTGCTATTTAAATTGCAAATTATTTGTTCAAACCATTTTTTATGAATCATCATTAGTAACTGAATATGCACAACTGGAGCTTTACTGTTGTGAGAATTATAGAGAAATGTGGCTTCAAAAACTGTGAATAGATTTTAGGCAAGTTCAGAAGAGAAAAAAGTGTTTAAAAGTACTATTTATAAAAAGTAATTATACTGGAAAAATACTGAGTTTCCTACAGATTAAAGTACATTTTATTACCATTCACTTGTGTGAGCTTCATTTCCGGAGATGTTAGATAGTACTGCTCACAGAGCATCTTTGAACAGTCAAAGGCATCTGGAATATAAAATATTTCACAATAATGAAATGACTTCATCCCAATTCATCTATGTGCATACTGCCCTTAATCTAAAGTATACCCTAGAATATGGGTTTATGTATATGGAAATGTCTCTTTAATGCTTTATTGAAAAATAATATTTTGTTGATTCTAGCTCTAGTATTAGGAATATGTGCACTCTGTAGATCAAATATAATATAGATATGGCATCTTAGCCATTTATGTTTAGGGTTTTTTATAGTATTATAAATTAGTGTTTCTATTTCTAACTCTCAAAAGCAAAGGATCTTGATGGCATATTTATAAAAGCATAGAGCAGTGGCACCACCCCTGCCTCACAAGCGCGAGGTCCTGAGTTCGATCCCTGATACAAAAAAAATAAAAAAATTGGAGCCCTGTGAACATGATTCATTCAGAATCATCTTGATTATAGATATGTCAATCTTATATTATAGAGTGTCAAAAAAGATCTGAAGAAATCTAGAAATTACCTTGGACCACTGTTGCCACATCACAGTTTGGATCAATGCTTCCAATGTGGGTTGGGTTTCCTGTCTTCTCATCATTAAATATAAGAACTGTTAAAAAATAAAAACAAGACATGTTGTTATTAAAAATCAGGATAATGACCAGAGCTATCACTGAGAAAGAGTATGATCCCCTGGGACATGTAGTTGTAGCATGGCTCACAATCTACACTCATGTTGATATAATCATGATCCTGAATGAGCTCACTTACTGTGCTGGTTCATCAGCATCCGAGTAGAAATACGGTTCATATAAAATCGATCCAAAAAGTACTGAAGATTTTGATTGGTGACTGGATCAAATGTACAGGCCTCTTTATACTCTATGATTCCTTGTGCCATCGTAGGGACTACATTGTGGTGTCTATTTCGAACTTTGATGAGTGTATCTACAAAGCTAAGCCATTAGATTTACAGTTAGTGAAAGGTAAATAAGTTTCATCCACTTCTTGTCCTTAGATGGCTTCAAAGGATTCTCTTCTAAACAAACCAAATGATAAAATGGTTGGGGGAGCTTTATCGGGATTTCTCTACCTTAGAGGAGATAGTTTCATAAATAGATAGGTTTGGATTCTAGGTTACATAAAAACTACCAGACCTGTATGGCCAGTGCATTCATTACAGGTGTTCAATAAGCCTTCTCTTTAAAAGAAAAAAAAAAGTCAAAGATGACTCTTGAATGTCATTGTGAAAAAAACTCAAAAATTCTTGCTAGATTTAGAAAAATTCTTTTTTGGGTAGTTAGAAACTGCCAGTAACTCTGAGATAAAGTGTATAATCTACAATGACACTGAAATGTTTTAAAATTTTATAATAGTAGATTCTCCTGAAAATCTCATTATTGGACTAAACTTAGAGTAAAAATGAAATTCCTTGCAGGAATGGGGGTACACCAAGTTGTCTACATTTTTACATAGCCAGCATCAATTTTCAGTACCAGGATTCTTTTGGTCTAAAAACACAATAAGCCCAAATTTGTCATCTGTAAGGGGATAGTAATTTATTATTCAGGGTTAGAGCCCATTTAATTTTTAGCTAAAAATTTAGGGCATACTCTTAGGAATATGTCAGCAAACAGCCAAGATTTTAAACACTTATTCTGATGCATAGAGCTTACTCTGATAGGGCTTTTTGGTCATCTGGGCTTTTGTCATGGAATTCCACCAAATCCATTAGGCTCTGGATATACCTGTAAAGCAAGAAGTGTGCTTTGTTATAACATTAATAGATGCAAAAGGCTGAAAAAAAATGCCGTTTTGAAATTATTTGAAGAAAGAAAGCAAGCATTACATTTGAAATGAAAACCTTCCTTCAGTACACTAGGAAAATAGTATATTACAAGTTAAAAACTTTAACTTTTACCGCCAACTTTATAACTTAAAATTTAACTTAAATTTTCTCTTTAAACTATTCCAAGTCATATTCAGTTCCTGGACCATTTTGGTTGGCAAATGTTTTCATTTTTATAGTAAAAACCTTTGGAAATAACTTTTTTTAAAAAAAAGGGCTTCATATTTTCTACTGTAAGAGAGAAGTAGACAGAAAGTAGAAGCACTGACTGCAGCAGTTAAATTCTACACTTGGAGTATGTGTTTGTGATTGTGACTTTCTTATGGGTGTGGAGTACACTGTGAACAAATAGTCCTGCAGTCAGTGGATTAGGGTGAGGTTCTGGTACATGTCTGCCTTACTGAACATCCCAACTCTGTTCTCTAAGCATCAGTATCCTTATTTGTAAACGAGATTATAATAATTGTCACTGAGTGCTAGCTGTGTAGTAGACACTGTTCTAAGTTTTTTTTTTAATGGATTACTTCAGTTATACTCAAACATTCATTTGAGGCACACAATTTGTTCTCCTTACTGGGAGAATTAAGGTATAGAGGGTTTCGAGCACTTGCCCAAAAGTCCACAACTAGGGAGTGGCAGAGGCAGAATTTGACTATTTCCTGAACAGTAGTCATCTGAATTGTTTCTAGGCATAGGATATCTTTTGCAATGTCAAACTTTTTTATTATGTAAAATACGAATTGATATTGCACATGTTCATTATTTTCCAAATTACTTCCAAAGGTAAAATTATTAAAATTATTGCAAAGGAGTCAAGTTTTTCCAGGGTAAAAAATCTATTTCTAGCTTTACAACTGCCCTAATGATAACAGCCTGAGTAAACAATTTTTTTATATCTTTTAAAGTATTTGCTGTGTAGACCACCTGTTTTCCAATTATGGAATTAATATAAGAAGCCATAGTCAGATAACTTTTAAAACTAGAGACTTCAAAATGATTTCCCACTTACCAGCTTTTAACCAACTGTACCGAAGAGGTATTTATTAATCGATCAGGGAGGATGTCAATTTCCTTCAGGATATTGGCTAGCCGCACAGGCAATTCTTGTCTCAAAAATGCAAAAGAAGTTCTTTCACATGCATTGTGTGAACCTATAATAAATGAAATTTATTTAGTTTTAGGAAAACAGTATATTTAAATGAAATATTCAGAAATCATTAATTACCAAATATTGAACATACACATATATTAGAAAATTTTATATTGCCCTCAGTTGGGTTATTGTTTAGAAGTAATTCAGGAGCAGGTATCTTTACAGGCTTTTTCTTTCTTCTTTTTTTAAAAAAAAGTCAAACATGAGAATGATTGTTTCCTGTTTTTGAAGAAGATTCACTCCCAAGAAGGCAGCAATTCCATAGTTCTTAGTATTTATGAAAAAAATGCAAGAGTCAGTGACCGCTACAGCATCACCAACACATGTCCTTTAATGGTTTTTGTTGTTGTTTCGGGCGGTACCAGGGATCGAACTCAGGACCTTGCTCTTAACGAGGGCGCCCCGGAGCTAAATCCCCATCCCTTAATGGGTATTGATATGAAACAGGAGAGGGAAGAGAAGCAGGAGAAGTGGAGGTCTTGACGTTCCCACAGGAGTGGTAGTTTCACTTTTCAACCCTTGAAATTTGCCTTATAAGACTCCTGGAGTAGGTTATGTATAAATATTTCAGCCTTAGGACAAATATATAGAAAATTATAGCGGTAAAAAGACAAAGAATTCTGTTGGGATTTAGAGCAAAGGCTCCTGTGGAGAGGCAGAGGGTGGCTAAGGGATAAAATCTATCAATTTGAGGCTACTTTATAACATCAGGAATCTTATCCAAGAAGTACCATATTGTGAAGGCGGAGAGAAAGTTTCTAGGCCATTGTTAGGGGGTGACTGAAAGCAAAATTTCTATGACTCAAAGATCCAGGCAAACAGAAGAGGAAGATGAGCTGAAGCCACCCAACAGCAGTTGCAGGGTTACAGGTGGCTCGACCTGTAGGCAAGTCTGAAAGCAGTCACATCTATCTAGCAAAGGCGGATACAGAGGCAATGAAGCTCCTGGGCGTAGCAGCAGAGGGTCTCTGGTTGTTTTTTAGCTGAAGCCCAGCCCTTCTAATCTTGGCCTGAAAGTCAGGGCAGGTCCCCAGCCCTAGTGCCACCCGCCTGGGCGCTGGATCCTGCTCACCGAAGTCCAGCAGCTGCTTCATGGACAGCGGGGACGGGCTGTAGCGAGAGAAGAGTTCGACCTCCCTGGGCACCAGGCCGGCGCTGCTCAGTGAGCCGGCGCTGCGCATCACGAAGCGGGCCGCCTTCATCCTGACGCCCTCCGGGACGATGGGGCTGGAGCGCTGGAGAGGCGAGGGCTACGGGAGCAGAACCGGATTCGAAACGGGGCGCGGGGTTTAGGGTGCTGTGTGAAGGAGCCTGCGGTGGGTCGCAAGTGCAGGGGATGGAGACTAGTGTCTTGCAGCACCAGCTGCCTTTTATTTGTCTCCCTGTCCTCTCTCCCGGGCTCCAACCGGGAGGAGTCACCGAGACTTGCAGTCACGTCCAGAACTTGGGGCCAGGCCAATTGCTTCGAAGAAAGAACTTTAGGCCCCGCCCCCTGGCGTGGCTCCAGCAGAGTGGCCTGGCAGAGTGACCGGAGGGCTTGCACTGGTTTCCCGGGCTGTGAGACTAAAGGGTGAGAAGGAGGCCAGAAGGATTTAGCTGGAACGGACAGCTAGACCACGTGGGCTCTAGATTGGTCTCTGGGGACAGGGCCCCACGTAGTGTGGGCTGGGGGCCGGCCCACACTCGTCCTTGTTTACAACTTCGAAGCTGTCTCAATGTCACAAAATCCAGTCCAGAAACCAGTTCCAAGAATCGGGGCCCCGAGAGCTCATTGGTCGTTGCTCAAAGCGGGACTTTTACACTAGCCAATCAGCTGTGAAGGAAAGTATGAGTTTCCTTGCCATTGGACAGCGAAAAGACTGAGCAACATGTTTTCGCAGTGATTCACCAGCTCGCTTAGCAGAACACCGCAGAACTGGACGTTCTTTTTGTTTACCTTTATGAACTGTTTACACGTACTTCTGTCCTGGGGTACAACAGTCCATCAGTTCGCCTCCAGAACACTATCTCTGTTAGTTAAAAACAGAACAAAAAAGGACTGATCTATCAATTTGACTCCCCTTTACTCCCATAGAGAATTTGTTCACTCTCTTCCACTGTCTGAATTATTCTTACTTCAAATCTTTGCGGAAGGCATTCCATGCTTCCTGCACAAACTAACTGCACCAAGAGGTCTTCCCTGACTGCTGTTCTCTCCTCCTTCCAGAGACGGTCTTTGTCACTCACAGAGTTACAACATACTATAATTCTGTAAGTTCTTATTATCCCTCTTTGATACCCCTCCCCTAAAAGAGACTAGAGTAGGGATGGTGTCTGATGCACCTTTGTGATTCCTAGCCGGCATTGTCACTACTTGATATTTGTTAGGCTAGTGTAGTGGTTGAAACATATCCTGTCAAAAACCTCTGACTCTACCTCTTTCCGCGCTCTCTCTCCACTCTAAAAGGACTACAGAATGAAGCCATGGTGCTTGGGGAAGCTGGTAGTTGGTTTCAAATTTAATGAATGGGAACTGATAGGATGCTAAGATGGTGGTTTGTTATCAAAACAAAACAAACCCTTTGCTTCCTGTTCCTGCTTTTAACAAGTACAGTGGGGGGAATCTGAAAGTCATGGATGATCCTGGCTCCACTGTCACCTTTCTCTAGTGATCTCACTAAGTAACAAGACTGTGCTTTAATTTCTATTTCAAGTGCAAACTCTCTGAGAGCCAGACTTCTGTACTTAATTGGCTATATGACTTCTCCATTTGAATGTTAATCAACATCAGTTTTACTTTTCTCAAATCTCTCCCTTACTGAAGATTTGAGCTAGTTCTGGCTATCTTTTGTGTGACATGTATGGAGTATCCTATTAGCTTTCCTACCATTTCCTCTTTTGCCTATCCATTGTCCATAGATCCTCCAGATTTGTGATTTCCCTTTTTGATCAAATATTTTGCCTGAAACTATAAGAAACAGCTTTGTGAACAACTCAACATTCATTATCTTCCATTGAGGGTGAGCTTGGGTTCTTAAGGATGTTGATAGGTGATCCTGGGGTGAATTAAAAGACTCTAGCTACTGTATGTGGGTGAGACAACAGAATTGAAAAAAATAAAGTAAGATGTAGCAACTTAAAACACCACCATTTAAGCTGAATCAGTTGTGGGAACATGAACAAGTTCCAGATTGATTCCCCACTTGTACAAAGGTTTTGATACCACTGAAATTTGTATTTTTGTGCTTGGAATCATTTAGCTAATATTTACATGGCTTTATGAAGCAAGGACATTTTAAAAAAAAAGCCAAAAGACTATATAGGCTGTCTTTTATGAAGCAAGTAAATTTAAGGTAAAAATCTCTTTCTTTCTCTGGATTATAACCTAAGAACAGAAATAAAGTATACATTTGTTTTCTTACCATTTGTGAGATCAGGAGTAGGCAAAAATATATTACAAAGGATCATACTTTAATCTTCCGAGAGAATGTAATGGAATGTGCATCAGTACATTTAGGACTAATTTAGGAAAGTCCCATTCCCTTAAGTCCACTGAGTGCTCAGCCTCACTCACCCTATGTGCTGCAGGGTGATTAAAGATCACGTGGATTCATACCAGGTTCCCAGAGGGTAAAAGTAAACTGAGGTCATCAAAATTTTGTCTCCATAACTCATCCAATAATATTTACCAGGTTACTTTCACAGTGGATTGCATTCCTCTACGTCATTTCAGTATGATGGGAACTCTTGTTATAATTAGCAACATTGATGGTGGCTGGGCTGGAATGGTCAGTTCATGTTGTTTACCTCCTTGGCTAAGATGTCATGTGTTGCCATGATTGGAGAGTAGCCTGGGAAGAGAGTGGCGGCTTATTCAGTTGATCACAGATCTTGGAGGTTATTCAGTTGGGGAAAAAGTGAAGCTGAAAGATTATTTGAGGACAATGGGTATAAACAAATACATGTGTACATTTGAGTAAAGGCAAACTGTTGCGTCTGGGGGACAAGCGCCTCTCCTCTGTTGTCCAAGCAGCCCACCGGGATCATCAATCAACCCCAGTAATAAATTAGAGGGACAAAGTTTAATGAAAGGAAGACACTTGAAAACGAAAAGGAAGGTGACAGGAGAAGATAGATAGCCACCCATATAAGCAAGTATCAGGGTAGGGGGCTCTGGAAAGATGGAGGACTCGTGGGCCCTTTGTTTTCAGCTGTTTGGCGGGGGTCAGTGACTCTTTTCCCTCTGCCTGGAACTTGGCATAACTGGATTGGCTTTTGGGCACCTCTGCCTAACATTATTTTTTTGGTGGTCTATGCGTAGCTTTTTTGTTTGTTTGTTTGTTTGTTTACATATCCTTAACTTACCCTTTAAGGCCTTATCTTTGGGGAGGGCAGCTAGTTGGCAAGGGGGTGCCTTATTTATGCTTAGATTAGAGTTAGTAAGGGGTGTGTGGATATCTATTGTACAGTATAATGATCCTCAAGTGAATAATAAAGTGACTAGAGTGAATGCACATATATAAGTTGTCTGTTAGTGCATAGGTGTGAATACACACTGCCTTAAAGTTAGTCAGCCCTCCCTTGGTTTTTGCTATATTTTATTGGAAGTTGGAGTGGCTTATCATTTGTGCACCTGGCTTTTTCTCTGTGCCTTGCCTGTCAGCTATTATTTTGATTTCTTGGTGCAAGTCTGAAGGCCATTGGGTGTCTTTTTAAAAATCCTTATCTTTGACTTATTTTTTAGGGGAATCTCTCCAGTAAAAATTGTTTTTTAACTTTTTAGTCAGGATTAGTTAGAAGACCTAAGGAGGTCCCTATTTTATTTTTTTGTTTACAGAACTCTGTTCCTACAAAATCATGGAAAGACCCCTGAATGATTTAATCCTGGGGGATGGTAATCAAATATTCCCTCGTGTAGACAGTGCTGAAGACAGAATCCCTGGTTAAGACTCCTAATCTTGAAATTTTCAGGCGCACTGTTACCTAGTATTAAATAACTACCTGGCTTGCCTGGCAAAATTTAGTAACATAAAGCTACTGGTCAAGTTTTTAAAAATTAACTTTATTGGTACATTTTAGGTATACTATATGATAACACTCATCATTGGAAATCTGTACCTTTACTTGGTTCTTATATTTTTCCCCATTCCCCTGCCCTCACTTCAACCCTTCCACCCCTCCCTATTTTTTCCATTTTTCCCTTTTCTCGTATTTATTCCTTTCCCTTCTTTCCTTTCCCCTACCTCTCCCACTTCCCCTTCCCCTTTAGACCTTTTCTTCCTATTTCACATTATACATTTTGATCTTTATTTACACTTTTAGTTTCTCACACCAGAGAAGCTATTCAGTATTTGCACATGTGTCCTATTTATTTCACTTAAGAGTATGGCCTCAATGTGTAGCCATTTAGCTATAAATGTCTCTAGTTTCTCATTCTTTATGGCTGAGTAGTACTCCATTTTATACAAAAACCACATCTTCTTTGTCCAGTCTCCAGTTGATGGGCAATTGGGCTGTTTCCAAGTTTTAGCTATTACAAATTTGCCACTATGAGCATGGGTGCATATATGTTGCTGTGGTATGATTCTTGTAATTCTTTAGGGGAGGTACCCAGCAAGGGAATAGCTGGGTCAAATGAGACCTCTAATTCTAGTTTATTGAGGTATCTCCACATTGATTTCCACAGTGATTGCACCAGTCTGCACTCCTACCAGCAGTGGGGAAGGGTTCCTTTTTCCCCACACCCCCGCCACCATTTGCTATTGGTTGATTTCTTGATAGCAGTCATTTTTTCTGGAGTGAGGTGGAATCTCAGCATTGTTTTCATTTGCATCTCTCCAATGACCAGTGATGTTGAATATTTTTTCATATGATTTTTGCTACTTCTTTGTCTGAGAAATGTCTGTTCATTTCAGATGCCCATTTTTGGATTGTGTCTTTAAATTTGGGAGGTCTGTTTTTTCTTAAGTTCTTTATATATTGCTGATGGTAGACTTTTGTTTGAGGAACAGCTGATAAAATTTTTTCCCACATTGTGGTTATCTCTTCACACTGTTAGTAGTTTCTCTTGTTGTGCAGAAGGTTTTTAATAAGATGAAATCCCAGTTGGTGATTCTTTGTGCTAGTTCCCATGTGCCTGAGGTTTTGTTCATGAAGTCTTTTCCTATGCCAGTGTTTTCAAGAGTTCTGCCTAACCTCTTTTCCAGCCAGTTTAGTGTCTCTGTGTTAATATTTAGATCTTTGATTCATTTCAATTTTAATTTGGTGCATGGTGAGAGATATAGGTCTAGTTTTAATCTTTGCCAAGTTAAAACCCAATTTTTAGAGCATTTATTCCTCATTTATTAAAGAGGCTATCTTTCCTCTAGTGAAGGCATTTGGGTCCTTTGTAAAAGATGAAATGGCTGAGTATGTCTGGAGTTGTTTCTGGATCTTCTAATCTATTCC